CTCAATGTCTTATCTCTTGCCTCTTTCATTTTGATATGAAACAGTTTACTCCCTTGAGGCCTTTTCTGTTATCTGTTCTTATGCTCCTTCTAGTTCAATTTTCATTTCCAAAAACATTTTTCTTTTATTTTCAATTCTTTCTTAAGTTCTGTTACCTCATTTCTCAGATTCTTCTATTTTTGATTTATGCTGTTCATGTCTTACAGCATGATCTTAATGTCTCTTACTCTTGAAATAGTTACAGTTTTTATCTATTTTATAGCATGTTTTTCTGGCATGCTTTCATTGTCTACAGGGATTCTCTTCTCTTTTTTTCTTATAATAACTTTGAATGAGATTTGACATCAATAATTTCCTATTGCTTATTTTTATGTAAAAGTAGTTTTCCTGAGCTTTAGAGGGGAACATCATTCAGGGTACCTTTTCTAACTTCATGTAGCTTTCTTTTAGGTTGCTTTTATGTAGAGTTCAAAAACACAGCAGTTGCTTTTTGAGATTCCACACATACACAGTACACACACATACATGCGCACTTTTTAGNATGGGAATAACTTGTCACCTAATTTTATTGTAAATGTTGTTCATGGATTTCAGGGTTTTCTATCTAGTTGTTCTGATGTTGTTTGTGTGGGAGGGGAGGAACAGTGGCGGGAGGGATTCAGAGAGAATAAAAAACTATGCTACTTCCACCAACATCTTTCCAGAAGCACTGAAATGATTTTTTTTTTCTTTCTTAATTTTATTTTGTCAATATACAATGAGGTTGATTATTGTGGCCCATTACCAAAGCACTGAAATGATTTTTAAGGGACTTTTATGTCTGGGTTTTTTATTTCTTTCATATTATTAGACAGGAAACTAAAATGCCAGGTGGTCTGGTTCAATTCTGATACCTGGCAACTCCCAACACTTCTGCAGAGCCAAAGACTCCAGGGTACCTGGTTTTACATATAAGCTTAAGACTACTGGCTCCAGCATAGGCAGCCGAAGTTCTAGCACTACACCCTCAAATAGGTCTACTCTACAGTCTTCTCAGCCTTAGAAAACTGGCCTAGGGCAGGCCAACCAATGTCCTAGAGCTGAGGCTAGAAAACCAGGCCCAGTGTCTCACCAACAAGAACTGTTAGGCAATGTTTTTCTACAACGCAGCTGACCTCTGCCATTCCATGTGGTGAACTGCTATAAAGGGATTTTTAAGCCTCATTATTGCTTCGTTCCTTTCGTGAAACTAAAAAATACAACTTTAAAAAATACAGCAAGTAAACATATGCAAATAGAATACAGAAGTTAGGCCATTAGCCTTCAAGGTCCATGAAGTCTTTTCACAGAGAGGCAGTACAGCTTTGTGTTTAAAAATGCAGACTCTATTGTTGCACTGTCTAATATGGTAGTCACTAGCCATATATGGCTATTGAGAATCTGAAGTGTTACTAGCACTGTACATGTAAAATACAAATTGGATTTTGAAGGCTTAGTTTGAAAAAAAAAAAAAGAATATAAAGTATCTCAATAATTTATGTTGCTTACATATTGAAATGATAATATTTTAGATATACAAAGTTAAATAAAATATATTATTAAAAGTAATTTCACCTCTTTTTCTTTAATATGGCTATTGGAAAGTTTAAAATTGCATATGTGGCTTGGATTATATTTCCACTGGATAGCTCTGATCTAGAGTGTCAGACAGTACCTACTATCCGAATGAAGAGGTGATTTTACTCTCTAAGCATTGACTTACTCATCAGTGAATTCATAACAAAAATTATACCTAATATATAAGGCTGTTGTGAAAAGTAAATTAGATAAGGCATGTAAAACATTTAGCACAAGGGGCCGGCCCGGTGGCGCACTGCTACAGTGTGCCGCTTGGGAGCCCGGCGGCGCTCCCGCCGGGGGTTCGGATCCCACATACAGACCGGCTGCTCACTGGCTGAGCGAG